GGGGTCACGAAGAGTCGGACACGACTTAACGACTAAACAACAACAATGTGAAGCAGCATATTTATTATGGAGGTCCCTCTGTATCTGGGAGTTTACCATCTTTGGTTTTGGACATGGTTGCTGTGCCCCAGACAGACCCGGTACATAATCTGGAGGTCCTCCTGGAATCATGACTCCTGCTGGAGGATCAGGTGGCAGAGGTGTCCAGGAGGCCCTTCTCCCAGCTTCATGTGGTGTGCCAGTTATGCCCTTTCTGGGATCTGGAGGCTCTCGGTTCAGTCACTCATCCCTTGTCATCTCTCAGACTATTGCAATGTGTTCCCTTGAAGAGTATCCAAAAGCACATTGGTTCAAAATGTGGCCGTGTGAACAATCTTTGGTGCCTCTAGGATGGCTCATACAACATTGGTGCGGGTGCTGCATTGGGTGCCAGTTCAGTTCAGTTCATACATTTATTTGCAACCATAGTTTTTAGCAAAATTCATTTAAAATTACAGCAATCCACAACATTGGGTGCCAATTTGCTTCCGGATCCAATTCAAGGTGTTGGTTATTACCTTTCAAGCCCTGCATGGCATGGGTCCAGGTTACATAAGGAACCATCTCACCCCCATTACATCAACCCTTCCCACCCGGTCAGGCAGGGGGGCCATGTTGTGGACCCCATCAGGGAGAAGATGTCAGCTGGCAGGGCCCAGGAGACCGTTCTCTGCCGTGGCCCCGCCCTTTTGGATATTACCCCCGCAGAGCTGCAGTGGGGCCCTACCCTCCCAGTTTTCTGGAAAGGACTGAAGACCTGGCTCTACCAGCTTGCATGGGGTGATAGGAGTTTTCATCAATCTTGTGGGTGGCTAATGACCTGATGTCACTCCTCCATTATTCACCACATACATCATTCTTTGAATTCATTTATTATTTTAAAAATATTTTTGATATTGTATTTTAATTGACTTTATTCCCTTTGTAAACCACCCAGAGTCTCTTTTCAACAAGATGGACTCTGACAACATTGATAGATAGATAAATAGATAGATAGATTAGACAGACAGACAGACAGACAGACAGACAGACAGACAGATAGATAGATAGATAGATAGATAAATAGATAGATAGATAGATAGATAAATCTTAAAGGACATATATGTAATTTGAGCAGGAAACTGCTCCTGAATTTACATAGCTTTGGGGATCAAAGTGCTACTCTGTGCTTTGACGTTGTAGATTTCCTTTAGCCTATTTTACACAAACAATATTTAAATGGTAGAGAAATCATAACCCCTTAAGATCAAATGTTCAAGTTGCTCTGAAAAGAGGTGTAGATTTTCAGGGGAGGAACTTTTATTATTATTATTTTTTTTTGCAAAAGCTCCACAACAGAAAAGTGTTTCTACAATCAAAACTCAAAACTAACATGCCCAGACATCCATACAGAATTATTTAATAGCCACATTAGAGACAGAGTGGGGCAGCATATGACAGTTTACCCATTATTGATAAGCTACCATTGTTTGTTAAAGCCAAAAAGGTAAATTTGATACAGGCTACACAACCAAGAATTATTTCCAAAGAACAAGGACTGCATCTTTGCAAGTCACAAAGTAAAACCAAAAAAATACTTTATGACCAAACACTTTGTCTGAAAAAGTTGAATAGGTCACCTTGTGGTCTCCTAAAAATTCAATTAGTGCTATGTTCAAAAAAGAAGGACTATTGTGAATTCAGCCTTGGTTTTGTGGAGAGAAGAGAAGTTTCTTGAGGTGCAGAACTCACATGAGAC